TGAACTTAACAGAATTCTATATGCATAATGTACATTTGGGTGCAAGGATAGTTTCCTTTGAATTACGATTTGTCTTGGGAGAGGAGTTTTATCACTCACTTTTCATTTTGGGAACGCTAATGTGTAAATTTCAATTTTTTAAGTTTCCAAATTTTTACTATTTGAAATTTACACCTTTCTCAATGCCTGAATTTCTGAATTTTTAAATTTCTGAACTTCTGAATTTTTGAATTTTTGAATTTCTGAATTTCTGAATTTCTGAATTGCTGAATTGTTGAATTTCTGAATTTCTGAATTTCTGAATTCCAGAATTTTTGAATACTCAAATTTTCGTACTTCTAAATTTCCAAGTTATCAGATTTTCAATATTTCCACATTATTAGGTTTCAAAAATTTTCAGATTTCCAAATTTCTAAATTTCCAACTTTGTAAACTCTCAGATCACATTTCTAGATTTTCAAATTTCTGAATTTGTGAATTTGTAAATTTGTAAATTTCTAAATGCTCAATTTAATAAATCCCTAAATTTCCAAAATTCTCTGAAATTTTAAATTCTAAAATTCCAAAATTCCATAACTCCAAAACTCCAAAACTCCAAAACTCCAAAATACCAAAATTCCAAAATTTCCAAATTTCACGCATATATGTATATAAAATATAAATCATCATCTTCCAATACCAACTAATTTAAAATCACTACAGATGCTTAAAATACATGATTTAATTTAGCAAAGAATTCAAAATGCTACATATCTTATCAGAACTTAGCACGTTCAAAACATGATACTCTTAAATATCATTAAACGAAGTAAATATTTTCCTTTTTTAATCTTTTTCTGATTATGTACTAAACATTCAATAAATTCCTTAGATCATTAAACATGTTATAGAAAAATACAGAAATTAGGAATTTAAAAACTAACGTCTTTAAAGATGAAAGAATTTTTGAAAATTTTAAGGTTTGGAAATTTTTAAATTTGGGGATTGGATAATTTAAAAGTTTGAAAATTTAATGATTTGTATTTAAAATCTTAGAAATTTAAAAATTTCGCAGTTGGAGAATTTGGGGATTTGAAAATTTAGAAATTTAAATGTTGAACATGTTATGATTTGAAAATTTGAGAATTTTGTATTTAATAACTGGAAGTTTAATAACTTAAAAATTTGGAAATTTGAATATTTGAATATTTGAAAATTTGGGAATTTGGGAATTTGGTAACTTGGTAATTTGGGAATTTGGTAACTTGGTAATTTGAGAATTTGAGAATTTGGGAATTTGGGAATTTGGGAGTTTGGGAGCTTATGAACTTGGTAATCTAGTAATTTGGGAATTTGGAAAGTTGGAAATTTGAAAATTTGAAAATTTGAGAATTTGGAAATTGGAAAACTTGATAATTTAAAAGTTTGAAAATTTTCCAATTTGAAGATTTGAAAATTTAAAAATTGAATGATTAAAAAATTGGAAAATTTTGTATTCGATAAATTCGATTGTGGAATTTAAATAGTTTCTAATTTGCAAATTTGATAATTTAAGAACTTGAGTATATAAAAATTTAGGTTCAGAAATTCGAAAATCCCCTAATTAACATATTTGCAAATTCTGCATCTAACATCTGTGCAATTCGTAGATTTACTCGAGACTGAAATAATTTGCAAGTTAACAATTTAAAAATCTACTTTCCAAATTAAAAAATTTGAAACTCCAAAAATATATAAATTTGCACATTTAAAAACACGAAAACATTAAATCTAAAAATTGAAACTCAATACGGAACAAAGATATTATATGAAAAATATATTTCATGAATTATTATCAGACTAGTAAAATTTAATTTCACGATCGCATCCTTTTGAAAGCAGCGAATCAACCTTTCTGTATGAACAAGTTCCTGGTACCCACAATACAACGCTATAAGAGATTATTGAATGTGTACATTTAATCCGAGGACAGTGTACGAACTCGTAAACACAGGTACGTGTGCGGAAAGAGTTGTTTACGCACACTCACACAGCCGCACGCTTAAATGATAGATGCGACCATGCAAGAAACGGAAACGTACTGTCTTACAATAATGAGTCTCAAATGCGGGAACTTCCTTCCGTGCGCAACAAATAAAACTTAAGTTATCGCGACATTTTAAAAGCGTTAGAGATTTTCATTTAGGATTAAATATCGTTCTCTGTTTTTCTCCCAGCATTTCTTATTTCAGCGAGAAAAACGTTCGTGCAAAATCGACGGCAAATCTTTCGAATCGTAGAGAATGCGAGAAGTTCCGCGCCATATTTTTCATGGTTTTATAAATGTGTTATACTTTGTTTTAGGGGAATAACGAGCGAAGCTAACGGTGATTCACATTTACCATCCATTACATTTCATATTCAGAATTGCATATTTCAAGAGAAACATATTCCTATGCCACATATTAGTTCTTATCGCGCACTATATTATTGTTATTGCTATGATTATTTTACGATTTGTATTATTATTATTATTAATATTATTAATATTTTATTGCTACTGTTTAATATCACGTTAGTACAATTCTTGTCATTTAGAGTCGTTCGATGTACCGTACAAACTCTTTAACGGTACAGATTCATGACATTATTTATCGTGAATAATGCAAGGGAAGTGAACGAAAATAGTGTTTGTAATAGAACATTTATGCTTTCTATTTGTTATTAAGATCGTCGTTCAATGATTAACGGAAAGCGAAAATGTGTCCGCTAAGTTGGCGGAAGATAACCACGTGTTAACTTAGTGGACGCCATATTTTCAATGGATCGTAACGAATGTCGATCGATATCCGTTGTTACTATTATAAATTCTATTTCGTTCAAGCCTGATGAATTACAGAATTTTACTAGCGTACGTACGTTTATCGACGCAGGGCCGAATTAAATATTAAGATTAGGGTTAACCATTAAGGTTGAGGTTAACCATTAATTGAGGTTTTTGTTGTGAATTGTGTGTTTGAAAATTCCACAATTTAAGTCATGTGTAAAACTTATGTTTTATGGTTCTAAACTTACAAAGTACATTTCCAAAAATTCCACAAGTTCCAAGTTTAAAATAATAAAATGCTCAAGTCCGAAAAATTCCCAAATCCAAAGTTTTTAAAATAGTAAAGTCCTAAAATTACCAAGTTTCAAGATTCGAAAATTCCACGATCCAAATGTAGCCACATTTGCAAAATAGTAGAGCTCTCAAGTTCTAAAATTACAAAGTTTAAAAACTTTTAATTTTATAGTCCCAAATATCCAAAATGGCAGAGTTCGAAAGTCATAAATTTCCAAAAGAGTGAAATCCTAAAGTCTCAAATCTTCAATATAACATTTCCTTAAGTCCCAAAAGTACTAGCCCCACAATTAAAAAATTCCAAAGTTCTAAAATCCCAAAATTAAAAAATTCTAAGATCCTAAAATGCCAAATTTACAAAATAGTAAAGTTCTATAGTTCCAACATTGCCATGTCCCAAAATTTGACTAATCCACAGTCTTAAAAATCCAAATTGCTACAATAGCAAAATTCTAAAGCCCCAAATTTACCAAGTCCCAAAATTTCAAAATTCCGAAATGCAAAAATTCGAAATTTCCAAAATATTGAACTCCTAAAACCCCAAATTTACCAAGTCTCAAAATTTCAAAATTCCACTGTCCAGAAATGCCAAATTTCCAAAATAGCAACGTCCTAAAACCCCAAATTTATCAAATTCCAAAATTCCAAAATTCCAAAATTCCAAGATCCCAAAGTGCCAAAGTTGCAAAATAGCAAAATTCTAAAATCCCAAATTTACCAAGTCCCAAAGTCTAATAATTCTACAGTTCTAAAACCCAGTTTTTCAAAATAGCAAAATCCTAAAGTCCCAACTCTTCATATTAACATTTCCTATGTTCCAAAGTTCCCAATTCCCAAAATTTGTAAATTAAAAATTTGTGAATTTTAAACTGTACATTAGAAAATTTTAAGGTCTCAAACTCGTGTATAGTTTGCAATAGTCTGGGGACCCTAGAAGCTTTAATTCGGCCCTGCACCAGCGGGAAAAGTTGCGAATACAGGAATAAGCGAAATACGTGTTGATCGAAATTTATATGTATGTACACGTACGTATTCAAAGAACTTAGGCGAGAAACTGTCCCTCGAACGGCCACTACTCATTTAATATTTTAAGAAATACATATATAAAGTACACGCATATACATTTTCCGACATATTGTAAACGGTATGGAAGCGAAATTTTAAACAGATTCGTTCGCTAATGTTACTAAAGGTACTTAATTTCTGAAAGTAACAGGGTGCACTGTTTTTTTTATCGTACGTATGTATTGATCTTTTAACATTTACACTTGCTTCGAAGAATTGTATTTAAAAATGATGTTTAGATTAATTTTTCAACGGATAGTTTTAGAACCCACAAAAACGACTGAACGAAAATTGAATACAGTTACAAGAAAAGATGAAAATGGAAAAAAATGATACGAAGAAAGAAAGAAATGTGACTCTTGTTAATGTTAATTTTATGGTAAAGTCTAGAATCTAGACGATTATACGAATACAAACCTCATTAATGACAGTGAAAACATGGATAACTTTATTTTAAAGATTGTATAGAGCATTTTCAGTATACATGTGTACGTATACATTTGTGTACAAAACGGAAATATATGCCTCCTAAATAAAATGAGCTGGCCTCTGCAAGCCCTGTTTTACGTAAGGACACGTGTTCTCATTTTTAAACCTTTCTCAAATTCAATATTTTCTTATTATTTAATAACATTAACGTCATCTTTAAACTACTTCAAACTGCACAAAAACAATTATTGTTCATAATAGAGAAGAATGAAGATATCAATATTAAATTGAACAATAAAATGATTTGTTTATTACATTATATCTATACACATTCGTATATTCAAAACGTAATACATTTTATAATCAAACACAAAAATCAGATCTTTGATTCAACTTTGGCTTATTTTAGAAACTAATAATTATTGCTATAGTATATATAAAAGTATAAAAAGTACAGTTGTGATTTCGCAAAATACTGCTAAAAGTACTGCGTAACATCGTGAAACTTGAAAACGAACATCCCTTGCATAAGAGTAGTTTTCAAAAATCGACGGCTAAAACGTTTACATTCTGTAATGGTATTTCGCTACGGTTGAATTTTAATTTCCGGCTGACTAATTTGCGGTTTTGCCTGCGTCGTTTTCACGTTACTTGCGTATCCAGAAAGCAGCTCTGGGATTCCGCCGAATCCAATTTCAAAGCAATCGAAATGCAGTACGTAGTTGACCCGTGGTGCCACCAGGTCGACGCACATGTGCACTTTATATCCAACGACCTCGATATCGTAGACGCGAACGCAGACTTTTCCGACTGGTACATAAGGAACCACTATGCAAATTGGTGGTGGATTTCTCACTGTAATAAATTGAAATCGCTGATAAAATCGATAGCGAATTCTTTGGTCAATTTCACTGAGGGAAAATTTACTTTCAATTTTTATTTGAAGAATATTGAGAAACAAATAAGTATTATGCTAAATAGAAATTAAGATGAAAGAGTTACCTGAAATAGTCTGTAAATTTCACTGAAGGAAAATTATTTAACTTTCAATTTTTATTTTAAGAATATTAAAAAACATTATGTTAAATAGAAATGATTACCTGAAATAGTCTGTGAAAAAAGTTCTTTCCCGTCTAGAGTCAGTAGTATTTTAATACCAAGGTCTTGTGGTAGGTAGGTAACTGCAACGCACGTTTTCCCATTAACGATCTTCGGTATGTCCAAAGTTGCGCAGCAATTGCAGGTTAGGTTTTTGCAGTAACAAGGAGCATTATGAGGACATATGGTAGATTCTGCGGCGTTCAACTTGTCTTTTAATACGGTTTTCCAATTGTAGTAAACGGAGTTCAACCAATTTTCATCTGTCAACAAAACGAATATACATTAATGGTATAGTCACATTTGACATTACCGATCTTAAAGTAGTTAATTTTTTTTGTATGTAAAAAATATTCATTTTCCAAACTTTTAAACAATTCTTTTTCATTTTATTACGAACCTTTTTCACCATAACTCACAGCATTGTAGATGTTCTGTACAACGAACAGCAGTAGGAAAACGCTGAGAAGTTTGATGGACATAGTTGCACGAAGAAATCGGAAGTTAATTCTTTTGAAATCTAGAAGTGTAATCGAACAGCTGAAAAGAAGATAGTCTGATTGATTGCAACCGATACAGTCGCAGAATAGGAGATTTAAGGTTAGAATAGGAGTCATGTATTCTTTCTACCTGCAAACAGTAACCGTTTGTTGTTGATTTTATCGTTTGAGCCTCGACTGCTATGGTCATTGGCCCAACCGTTCGTTCATTAAAATCAATCGGAGCTTTTAGCTTATTTTATCCTTGCATCTAGGAATAATAGGGCACTGAAGTATCATCATGTAACAACGATATTTATTTGATACCTTTAATTATAGTTTCAATTAAGCATAAATAAATTTCTGCCTTAAATAATATTAAACTCTTGGTAATTACTTATTAACATTGTAAAATTTCAAATGTTCCTACTATTCTTAATTAATATTCAACACACATTATCACAGTAACAACTACAACTAATTTTTTTTTATTCAAAAAAATGACTAATTATAATTAATTATTACTTTCATTACTATAATGAAAGTAAATATTTATTACTTTAGAAAATTAAAGTAACGTGTAAAAGAATATTATCTTGCTTAATCATTACTGTACGATGTACAATTACATGAAGAATATTGTTTAACAAAAATATGGGTTTCTTTGTTCCAAAATGTTTGAACCGCGAAATTGCATTTGTGGATAAAATGAACTGCTACATAACTTAATTTGTAAACAATTAAACAAACGATTAATTAACATCTTTATCCGCCGTAAATTAAGTTTTTCATTTTCAGCTAATTTAATGAAAAATTCAGAAAAAGTGTAGATACTAATCGCACAATATCCATGTAAACAAAGATCGTAAACCTACCCCTTCTGACTTTATGTAGATGTACTTCGACGTGCTGTCAAATATATTCAAAACTAATCGTAGACGTGCACAGTAAACTATGAAAAATTGTTTCGAGTTCAATCACATCTCGTTCAACGGCTACAATGAACATTGTTTATAGAAACCCACTCTCTAAATAGAAACTATAAGGCATAAGGACAATGCAGATCACGTGTACGAGTTCACATTTGATCTGCACACCTTAATTGTGATTGGTTCGACTACGTTTGGTGATAAAGAGCAACGCGCATGCACGTTTGCAATATCGTAATATGAAACACATTTTTATATATAGAATGTACCTGATATTAACAGTGAACATTGGTATATTTTATGGGGATAATGAAAAACTAAAGTACTTTATAGTATAAAAGCAATAAGATACATAACAGAGATTTAAATGAAATTTCCGTAGGAAAACATTGTTAAATATTGAATATATGTTAAATATATTTTTCGTGCAAATAATTTTTTATTTATTTAATTTCATGCATATTATGGTGAACTCAAACAATAAAATCAGTGTTAATTGAACTTTTACGGAAATTGAATTAGTGGCGCCATCTCTCCGGCAAACAGGGTGAACTACACACTTTTGAAACAGCAGCTTCATTAGTTCATACACACTATCGATAGATGACGCCATGTGTATCTTCTCTCGTTTCAATTCGGTTAATATAGTTAACAGATTTTATTATAAATTTTGTATATCTAGATCAGTGTTATGTTTATAATTACATCATTATTTATTATGTTATAAAATGTAATTCGGCGAATGAGCTCATTTCAAGGCTTTAATAATTACATGCACACATAATATAGTTGACTTTATTAATTTATTTGATTATAATATGAATCAAATTACGTTGTAGTGCAAGGCCAATTATCTTTGAATTGTTTTGACTTTACCAAATTATTATCAATTTTTTAAAATACTTAGTCGAATCCTAATTAGCCTGAGGATTTCGGTCTTATATGTTGCCAACTAGCGGTAGAAAATAGGAACTAATTAAACTGCAGTTTCGAAAGTGTGTAGTTCACCCTGTTCGACGGAGAGATGGCACCACTTATTCCATTTTTGTAAAAATTCAATTAAAATTGATTTTATTGGCTTAATTAACTTTGACATACATACAAAATTCTACAATTCATGCAAGAATGAAACTATAAAAATACTTTTAAGTTTTTATACGAATTACTTTAAAATAAACCATTATATTCTACAATGTAAACCTTTTTATAACGCAATGAATAAAATTTTTAACATTTTGATATTTTCTTAAATCTTCTTTCTAAAATATACAATAAAACAGCTTTTTTTAAAATAAGCATTGTGAATATTTGATTATTTATCGATTTCGAAAATGGCTTCAATTAACATAATGTAATAAGATTAAGTACCCCCTAAAGATTGAAAGCGATCTCCTGCGGTTATGGAAGTCATGCTGTATATTAATATAAATAAATTCCGTACCAGTTTAAGAAGTAGCTTTTAAGTATTGAATATTTTATTACTGCAAATAATACAATTATTTTCTACAAAAATAACAACTGTCATAGCATCACTTGAAATAAAACAAATTCTGAAACAGATGAGGTATAAGAAAAACATATAAAAGATATATGCTTATTGGACTTTACAAGTGTCTATTTATACAATAATAATTTATAACACATGGCAGTGTAAATTATCTTTATAACACACGGCAGTGTAAATTATCTTTTGCATTTTATATTACTGAATTTATTATATTTTTTAAGTTTTGTTGTTCGTCTTTGTACTTTGATATCTCCATTAAAATTATCAATTAAACCTATTATTATACTTCTATAAATAATTATAACCTGTTTAAATTATTATATATCTCGGCAAGATATTTCATCAGTAGTATGCACAATGTAAAGTAATATTATACTTTAAAGCAATATTTAAATCCCTGATCAATTATTACAATATCACATTCTTTATTAGTGTTATTACGTTTGTTGTTTGAAACCGCCTGAACAAATAAGTTTATAACAATTGGATTAAACACAGTATAATTTAATCACTCATTTAAAAATATTATTTACTAGATTCATTCAGCGGTCAACGTAAATTCATGTTACATCAACTAATAAACAGTTAATTAAATGACAAATACTCTGCTTTCAAATGGAAAAAATCATTTGTTAAAATAATATTAGTTCTCAATAAACCTAGAACACACGAATTCTAAATAAAAATATTTAAATATTTACTTTATCTAACTTATAACACTCTATTCATACTTAAATATTATCAAAAACAGTAATCCCTTAACTTTCTCTGTTTTAAATAAAACAGAACAATGTTTTCAGTAGATATAACAACTGATATTCTGATAAAATTAAAAATCAAATACTGGTTTCCTGTGATTTACTTTAAGAATCTTCAAATTGACCTTCTTCGAAGTTCTTCGACCAAACTAAAGTTCCGTCATTTAACATTTTCCTAACCCGGGATATTATTCGTGGCTGATGGGATTCAGCCGGACAATATAGAAGCTGTGATGGTCGATAAAACGTAAACGGTGAATACGTTTGCTTTCTTGGTTCTCTATTTTCTGAAAACAAAATATAGCATGCTATACCAGGAGATGATGTTAAAATAAATAGAACATCATCATTTGGATACAAAATCAGATTAAATGACTTGCAAAATAAATTTAAAACGAAATGTAAAGGATACAAGAAGAAAATGATTCATGTCCAGTGTTATTCCTTCACCTATTTTAGTTTAATCTTAAATGTGTTAAATTCTTACCATGAGGATCAAATTCATCAGCCGAATCTTCCGAAGTGTCCCAGTGTTCATTTGCGAACTGATTAGATGTGTTTTCAGGTCTGCAAAAAATAATTAGAATGTTAAATAATACATACATCTTTTATTCTAATTTAAAAATCTCAAACAGATGAAGTGCAATGATGAATCAATTCCAAGTGTACTTTGGGTGTTTCATGTGGTGAAAATGAAACGTAATTTATTGTTTAAAGATTTTCAAAGAAAAACATAATATTATATCATGTTTTCTTTTGCAACATCGATTATCAATCCTCATCTTTAAAGTCAAATCAAAGTTGAACAATCATTCCACTTGATCATTATGTAAAATGTAAAACATAATGACAAATATTAATGATTACAGTTTTTTAACTTACGGCAAACCAAAATTATAACAATGTTCGGATGAACTATCTGTGGTCGTGCTTGATGAAACTGATCCACTGTTGTTGTCTGACCATGGTTCCAATAAGTATGACTTACATCCATTGTATGTTCTACCCTCTTCTGGCCAATGTTCTCTCAAATCATTTCGCATATTTTCATAAGAAGTATTCCTATTGAGCTATTGATTTGATCTATTAATATAAAAATCCGTGATAATCTTTCGAAAATAAACAAAGGCAACCGTCGAATTGTACGGAAGATTAAAATCTAGCCGTCACATACGGTTAATTTGCCTTCAGCCATGAGGCTTCCTTTTATATCCTTACCGATAAATTGTCAGTTGAAAAGTAGTTTTGCTCAAGATCCACTCCTACTAAATTTGCTAGACTCTTGATCTTTTCTGGTACTATTTCAAATTCATTATCGAATAGGTCTAAATAATGTAAGTTACTTAAAGCTTCTATACTCTCTGGTAATTTGTATAAATGATTACAGCTCACGTTTAATTCTTTTAGTGATATTAATTCTCCAATGTTCTCAGGGAGAGTTGTTAGCTGATTTCTATGTATTATTAGACTATTCAAATTTTTCAATGTACATATTGCATCGGGTAAGCAAAATAGGTCATTACAGCTCAAGTCTATCATAGACAAATTAACACACTTGCCAATATTATCAGGCACTGTTGAGATTCCTGTGTTGCAGGCATTAAGTTTCTTCAGGCTAGATGGTTTTTTCAACTTTTCAATTGGTACAGACCAAAACTGATTCTTAGAAAGAAATTTGGTATTTCCAATTAACAGCTCTTCAAGACTTGTCATTTCTGTGATTATATTTTCTACTATTGAATTAAAGAGCTGGCAATTCTTTATGTATAATTTCCTTACATATGATTCTGTTAGGTTTTCTGGTAAATTGAATTCTTTAAATTTCGTATTGTTCAGTGATACTGTTTCAAGCTTGTTATATTTTGAACTCAATATCCAGTTTGGAAACAAGGGGCAAATACCGTTGTTTTCTGCATAAAATGTGTTCAAGTTCCTGCTCTTGGGAAACACGTTCAAGTATGCATTAAAATTTAGTGAAAAATGAAATATTTGTAAATTTTCTATTCCATCAGCAATGCAACTTGGGATTCTTTTAAAGTTATTACGATTAAGAAATAAATTTCTTAATTCACATAAGTTTGCATAAGAACTTGGTAAGTTATTTAATAAATTAAAACTCAGATCCAACTCTTTCAACTTTGATAAATTTTCTAAATTACTTGGAACTTCCCTTAGAGAATTGTTATTTGCTTTCAGTGTTTTCAAACTAATTAATTCACACACAACATTCGGAAGATAAAGAAACTCATTACTCATTAGACTTAGATGCGTCAAATTTTTTAAAATGTTCATAGAATTTGGTAAATCATTTAGTCTGTTATCAGATAAATCAAGGTAAACTAGATTTATTATTGATTCTGTGAAACTACTGAATAAATGTGGCAACTGATTTCTTAACAGTGACTTTTCTACAATTTGCAATTGTCTTGTATCTGAAATTTCTTCAATGGTACCTTTTTCTTTGATTATAGTTAAATTCTTATTCTGCACAATATTGCTTGGATCATTTTTTAATGTCAACCGTAACGTGTTGAATGAGTTTACCAAATTTAATTCTTGACTCATATTCATGGTTAAACAATAAAATCTGATTACAAGATATACATATGAGTATAAATGTCACTACAAAATAAATAAAGCAATATTTATATTTTTATTTCATACATCCGTATGAACGGTTATATTATAAACGACTATGCTACTTTCGGCAAAAGATATTACCAATACTTTTTTAAATTATTTCTAGTATAGAGCACATGTAAATAGAAACAACAAAAATTTAGGTTAGAAACTACTCAAATTCATAACAATAAACACCGACGCATTTCTCCCACAAGTTGCTAAAATTTCTAGATTTTTACTTTGCGACAGTGCTACGATAAAGGCGAAATCACAGTTTATTTCATTTTTACATATGTACATTTGTGGGTCAAGCTAGGGTATTAAAAATTGAAAACGATTATTTTTTATTTATAACAACCAGTGTTTTTATTCTTTTGAATGATTTTACATAAGTTTGTTTCGATGTCCTAGTAGTGTTAGGGACTTTTCCAAGACTAATTAGCTTCCCTAGAATAAGTGGCAGCCTAGAGCAAGAGATTCTCATCACTTGTCATAAATTTTCTGAAATAAATGCTTACCTTTGAAACTAGGTCTGTTTGATTGAGACGCTCCGCGCCTAACCTAACAATGTTGAACGAGCGAGTAATTTCCAGGAGTGTATTTCAGCCCAGAGTGAAATGTTTTCACCCCTTAAACCTGGACGGCTCAAGTTGGTCTCGATATGTCCAAGAATATTTTTTGAACGAAAATATATGTATAAAACTGTATATTTATCCGGAAATAGTGTTTTTAAAATGTATGTGTTGAATATCAAACGGTGGGTGTTTTGCAATATTCCCAATAACATCAAAACAAAAATCACAATAATTAAGGTTTCTAGATAATTATCAGAAGAGAAGTAATTAATTTATAAATATCATTTAAATTAATTTTTAAATATACTTTAAATTAATTTATAAATATGCTTTAAATTAATTGATAAATTTAATTCAAAATATCGAATGAAAACACAATAATTAAGGTTTCTAGATTATTATCAGAAAAATAATTAATTTATAAATATAATTTAAAATAATTGATGAATATAGTTTAAATTAATTGATAAATTTAATTCAGAATATCAAAAAAAAACAATAATTAAGGTTTCAAGATAATTATCAGAAAAATAATTAATCTGTAAGTATAATTTAAAATAGATATAGTTTAAATTAATTTGCAAATATAGTTTAAATTGATTTATAAATATAGTTTAACTTAATTAAAATTTAATTAATTGAATTACGTATAATTCATCTTACATAAAATTCGCAAAGTTTCAAAGTTAATTTTGTAACAACTTTGATTCCTAAAAACAACATCCAATGAATAATTCGTCTGACGAGTCGAACTTTCTTCGAACTTCTCTTTCGGTTGCCTTTTAAAAAAGATTCGGCAAATTACTCATAAACGTCACGTACTTTTTGTGACCGTATAAGTTTCTAACTGGACAATGCGGAACGAGGATGTGCCGCCAACAAATGATTACGTAATTGATGCTTTCGTCCAAATTTTTTTCTCTCGACAAACGTTTAGTTATACATTATACTTAACTACCATATGTTTACTGTGTGTACTTGAAAATTTTATCGCTATAATGGAATCATCACCTTATATGGCACTTTATTTTTGCGGTATACGTTTTTAAAAAATTGGAAAAAAGTGATAGGGGAGCTTCCATTTTGTAAATTTTAACATTATTAGTTTTAACAAGTCGTGTAAGTTAATTTTGAAAATTTGACAACTTCCAATTTTGTTGAAACCTGAATTTCTAAATTTCTCCATTTTCAAATATTCAAAGATTCAAGTTTTCAAATTCTGAAATTTTAAAATACTCAAGTTTTCAAATTCTGAAATTTTAAAATACTCAAGTTTCCAAATGAAAAAGTTTCTAAATTTTTTATTATTCAAATTTGTAAATTCTGTCATTTACAAATACTCAAATTTTCAAATTCCGAGATTTACAAGTATTTAAGCTCCCAAAATCTGAAATTTTAAAATACTTACATTTTCAATATTTCCAAAACCCCAAATTACCAAATCCTCAAATTACAAAATCCTTAAATTACCAAATTTCCAAATTACCAAATTACCAAATCCCCAAATTGCCCAAATTCCCAATTCCCTAAATTGCCCAAATTCCCAATTCCCCAAATTCCAAATTCCTAAATTCCCAATTCCCCAAATTCTAAATTCTTCAAATTCCAAATTCCCCAAATCCCAAGTCACCAAATCCTCAAATTACCAAATCCCCAAGTTACCAAATCTCTAAATTACCAAATCCCCAAATTACCAAATCCCCAAATTATCAAATCCCCAAATTACCAAATCCTCAAATTACCAAATCCCCAAATCCCCAAATCCGAAATTTTTAATCCTCAAATTCCCGAACTCCGAATCTGTAAATCCCCAAATCCGAAATTTTTAATCCTCAAATTCCCGAACTCCGAATCTTCAAATCCCCAAACGTACAACCTCAAAAAACATTGAAATCTCCACACTTCTAAATTCCCAAATATTTAGTAACAATTCGAATACAAAACTCACCCCTAACCTAAACCAACATTACTACATCGCAAATCGTAGCGTTTCGATTTCGAAGCGAATCGATTCAAAGCATTAGAAATACTGTAGAGTACACTCCAAAAACTAATATTGAATGACGTATGCACAATACAGGAAGCAGTTAGAACAGTGACCCTGACGACATATTCCAAGGTCACATTCCTGTTTCTCACAAGTACGCACATTTCAACGATATTTAAACAAGCTTCCCTCTTTTTTAACGTAGTCAAATTAGTTTTTGAAAAATACATTTATAAACATAGATTCCTAAAATTAATTTCACCAAGTGATACAATTGAAATTATTAATGCACATGTTACATTTCACATACGTAACAACGTTTAATACTCGAATGGCATGAACAATTTCAGGTATAATAAATTGCGCATAACATTTACATGCAATGATGCAGCTAGCTTTAATTAAAATAAGCAACGTGCTGTGCACATTATTATAGCACAGAGAAGGCCGGTCGTTTTGTGAGCGTCGCGTTATGTGAATCGATAATGAATTATATATTTCACTTTTCTTTGACCAACAATAAATTGATCTAATGACACATATCGGAGCATATTGTTGAATGTGTCAGATGTCTTTTATTAATCGTCGAACAGATTTTTATGTGTCTTCCGTATTACGTATTTTAAATTATTCATTACAAATCAACACGTGCATGGTTAATTCATTTTGTTGATTGATTACAATGTTGAAATATTCTAATATTAATTTTGTTGTTATTTATTAAGGTTAGGTTAGGTTAGATTATTGTTTTGTGATTTTAGCGCAAGATACAATTTTAAACAGTTTTTAGATTAAATTCATAAATTTCCAAGTTGCTGAATTTAACAAGTTAGATCCAATTTCTCAAATCCGTAAATTCTTAAATTTTCAAATTAATAATTATCAAGTTTCCAAATTTCTTAATTTGTAAAATTCCCAATCTCTGAATTTCCAAATTATCAGATATCCAAATCTCTAAGTCGTCCTTTCTAAATTTTCGATCTCTAAGTTCCCAGTTTTCAATTTCTAAGTTTTCAGTTTTCAGAAGATCTAAATCTCCAACATTCACATTTCTGAAGTAAATTGATTATTAGTAAAAGTTACAAAGTGACAAAAAACACTTTGTAAGTTTTAGGGGTGGAAATTATTTCCTCAACTACTAAGACTGTGAACTGTTGACATTTTCTGAAAAAAGTATTGAGGACAAAAATAATAGGAATAAAGAGGATAAAAATAGTAGAATTTTGAGTACCTTGATAATGACTTTGAAGTTGACCTTAAAGTCAATTTTCAAGATCGATTAACACTATAATGCAACTTTTACTCTGAAAATAATTAGTCAACTCTGACATTTAATTTTAAAAATTCCATCATAACATACGTAACTAAAATCAATACACTGAGATGATTCTATTGCAAGTTTAGTATTGCCACACATGTTCATAACACGTTCATACTTTATCATACATGCTTGTAATACATTGATACTTTGTCACATATACTTGTAACACATTCATACTTTGTCATACATACTTATAACGCACTTGTACTTTGTCACATATGTTCATAACATATTCATACTTTGTCACATATGTTCATAACATGATCATACTTTGTCATACATTTGTACTTTGTCACATATGCTGTAACACATTCATACTTTGTCATGAATGCTTATAACATATTGTATCCTACATACTTGTAGCACATTGGACCTTTATCACACATGTTTATGATATACATACTTTATCATACATGCTTGTAGCATATTGGTACTTTGTCACATATAGTAGTAACACATTCATATTTTGTCATACATGCTTATAACATACTTGTACTTTGTCATACATGTTCATAACACGTTCATACTTTGTCATAAATATTTGTAACATATTTATACCTTGTTACACATGCTTGTAAAACATTCATACTTTGCCACATATGCTCTTATTATATTCATACTTTGTCACACATGCTTCTAATAAATGTATTCGTTTCGTCAGTTTCTTACATGTGCCAGTGGTCATAAAAGTGATACAAGACAATATACCAAAAGAATTAATCTATTTACTTATTTGCATTATACAGATTAATTTTACTACGTTACAGGTAAACTTTTGTTCAAATATATGAAAACCAAATTGAACGAAATTTTGCAATTAAACAAAATTTAGTTCACAATATACAAATTTAGAATATTTCAACAATAATTGGCGGAAAGTTTAACATCGAAATTCTTTCAGACTTTTGACTTCCATAATCACCGACACATATTTACTCTTCCGATATTTACTCTACGTTTGAAAAGTTTCATGAATTCTTTCGGAACTATTATTAACCATGTGCTATATTGACGTGCTCCACGTGACACTGGTTGAAGTAAACTTTTATATTCTCGGAACGTTTGAATCTAAGGATAATTGTAATTTGCACATTTAAGGATCGCTAAATGCAAGACAAGCATGACATTTCAACTTTCTTCACCTTAACATTTTAATGAATAGCTCGTTATGTCTGCATCTGTCGAACAAATCGTACAAGGGGTTAATTACCTCCATAGTCTCAGCACATGTACATTTATTAGGTACTCAATTCAGAATGGTAATGTTAGAGTCACCGTTCAAAGGTTTACTATTTTTGAGTATATAAGTGTGTGAAATTTCATTGGAATCGGCGAGTGGCGGTTGGTAGCGTTATTTGTCAGAGTGGGAGAGTCAGGAGCGTATTATTCACCCCTCTTCGTCGCCCTGTTCACGAACACAGGTGACCGCGTCGTTTCATGATCACTCATAAAGCTCGCTTTCGAACGATCGACCAATACAGAGGCCGCGAAACGTTCCCGTGGTGTTGTTCCGCAAATTCTTCCAAATCGCGAAACCGTGCAGACTTTCGAAAATTCGTCACGTTCACGGTGTAATCCTCCGCGTAATTCCCGAAATTCATGTCAAATGTTCAGAACATCTCGTAGAGTTGCCGTGATCGTCGTACGTGGTAAATTCGGAGTGTGACGACCGGGAAGAAATCGTTGGCTCAAATTCGTATTCGCGATAGCAAGCATGAAGTTCGCCGGAGCGTGGGTGGTTTTTTTGTTGATAAAACTTTCGTATGCCGGAAAGTCGGTGGAGATTCTGCCATCGGGTGCGCTCAGCACCCTCGAGGAGGAAGAGATCCTTCGAGTTCTGTCGCACAATAAAAGCTTCTCCACGAACAATTTCACGTTGGTTGAATTAATCGGACACCTGAGGAACTACACGATCGAGCCGAGGAAAGAGACGTGGAGGAACGAGAAATATGAACATACGAATCCGTTTTACGGTGAGTTTTGATGTAATAGAGTTATGTTATCATGTAAGAGACGGGGGTTATTCATGTAGAAGAACGTAGGGATTTTGTTTATGATTTTATTTAAATATTAAAGGTTTTCAAGTTTACATATCTATGTACATATCTACATTATGAACTACACATAAAAAATACTAGATGTTTACTATCTAGCAATGTAACCAAAAAATGGACGAACTTACATGAAAAAGGGGGTGAAAAATATAAATGAAATTATTTAGTATCATTTCATTTTTCAGAAAATTAAATCTGAAAATTTATCATGTTTCTAAAAATAAATTTACGATACAAGCAAGAATATCATTAAAATAAATTAATTATTAAAATCAATAAATTAAAAGTTGCTTTAAAGTATTTCAACAATTAATAAAAATTGAAAAATAAACAATATTTACAAATTTTTAAATTGTAAGACTTGAAGACTTGAAAATTCGAAATTTGTCAAACTTCAAAATTTAAAAATAAAAAACATGAACTTCTAAATTTCATCAAGAGGGTAAATACTTGAATACATCCACCAAACGGGTAGATACTCAAATAAATTCACTGTATGATGAATACTTGAATAACCGTAAATATTCGAATAAATCTATCAGCAAGTATTAGATACTTGAATAAATCCACCAAACAGATAAATGCTTGAATAAACCCATAAAACAGATAAATACTCGAATAGTTCATCAAATAGATAAATACTTTAATAAATTCATCAACGCGATGTATGCTGGAATAAATCCATCATACAAATAAATACTCGAATAAGATCACCAAGTAAATAAGTACTTGAATACTTCCATCAAACAGAGGATTGGCTTGAAAAAATCTATTAAATAAATAAATGGTCGAAGAAATCCACTAAATAGCTAAATACTTGAATTCAGAAAAACAGATAAATACTATAATAAATCCACCATACAGATGAATCCTTAAATTCAGCAAGCAGATAAGTACTTAAATTCAGCAGTGAGATAAATACTTGAATAAATCCACCATACAGATAAATTCTCAAATAAATCCAAAAACAGTTGAATCCTTAAATCCACCAAACAGATAAATCCTTAAATTCATCAAACAGATGAATCCTAAAATTCAACAGTCAAATAAATACTCGAATAAATCCAGCATACAGATAAATACTCAAATAAATCCAAAAACAGATAAATCTAAAATTCAGCAAACACATAAATCCTTAAAATCAGCAAACAGATAAACATTTAAACAAATCCACCCAACAGAATACTAAAATAAGTCCGTAAAACAGGTTTTTTTCTATAAGTTCATGAAAGAGCTTCAATCAAAGCCACCAATGATACAAACCGATATCGAATAACGGAAAAAGGCAAAGCTACTTTCGATATTTCGAAAGATGTGTTACTGATGTTTGATTTTCATTCATGTGCAGTGTCTGCATACCGCGTGCGATTTCGTTAGCCATTGTATTGTGCGCGCATGATGTCAACTAAAGGAAGCAAACGACAACACGAAACTCTTCAAAAGACTGCTACGTTTTATAAATAGAAAGCGTCTATAATGTTCCCTATAGTCGAAAATAACACGATAAAGGAAAATGTTACGAACTTGGACGGAATTACTTACAATACTTTCTCTGTGTTTCAACACGTGCGATATTGTTTCTAAATTTTTACGCGTTGACCTCGGTCCGCGATCAACGTTGCAATGTACGGTTGGGTGCAGCACATTTTTAATCTTTTCACCTTGTATTTCTATTATATTTACATCTGCTACCTACATATTAGATATTTCCTGATGAAAATAAAATGCTGCCTTTCTGTGTTTAAGAATATTTTACCAGTTATAATTTTGAGATGAATATGAAAGATTTTTGTAAATTTGTAAGTTTGCAAATTTGAAATAGAGGTTTCTGATTCAAGGATAATTTATAGAAATAAAAATTTCATTTGTAACCTTGACAATTTCTGAACTTGTCTGCATTTAAAAATCTGAAAATTATGTTATTTCTCAGTACAAAACTAGGAGATAGATAATTTTTTAAAATTCATTTAATTGAAATTTTATAGTGATTCCACTTCTGAGGGGTGTCCCTCTAAGTACGTCACTGAAAACTAATTGTATATTAGTTTTGACAAAAAATATTGATTTCATTCTCTCCTGAGTTTCAAACTGAACACCACAATTTTTGCAGTCATAAAAAGCACATACACACGTGGTTAAAAATAATTTTGCAGTAAACGATTGCACAATTATCGACACCGTGATAACCGCAAACATTCAGTTCAAATTAAAGAACAGTTTTGTCTTTACCGTTTCAGATTACATCATGAGATGTATACATGGTAATTTTATAGTCTTACGATGTGACAACACCATTCTAGGAGTTCATTAATGAAGTAAATTCCACGTGGATGTTAGCATAAATCAAATAATGATTAACCGAAAAGGAAGTAGCTTTTCTAATTTGATACTTTCAAGTGTATCTGGTAGAGAATTGTGACTCTGCAAAAAACAGCTTCATTAATGCTAATGCTTAATACATTGAATTAATCTTTTTGGAGATATGTTTAGATTAATTTAAATATACAGAGTTCGAAATAATGATGCGATTTAGCAGCTAAGATGAATATCTCGAGTTTGATTCTGAACAGAAATAATTATGTGAGATAGAATATGGAAGGAGATTATTTTAAATTTTTTGGAGATATGGTTAGATTAATTTAAATATACAGATTTCGAAATAATGATGCGATTTAGCGGCTAAGATGAATATCTCGAGTTTGATTCTGAACAGAAATAATTATGTGAGATAGAATATGGAAGGAGATTATTTAAAATTTTTTGGAGATATGTTTAGATTAATTTAAATATACAGAGTTCAAAATAATGATGCGATTTAGCGGCTAAGATGAATATCTCGAGTTTGATTCTGAACAGAAATAATTATGTGAGATAGAATATGGAAGTGGATTATTTTAAATGTTTTTATTCGTGCGGGAAGATAATTTGAAGAAATTGATGAACGTAATAATCGCTCATTTATCTTCCAAGTTATTCGTTACCTTGACATTTTCGGGTACAGCGATCAGGAACAAAATTTGGAGGACATATTCAGATGTAGGAATTGTAACCTAACGGGATTGATTCTGTAACTGTTTATGTTATAAAGTTGCGGAGTTTCTGAAGAATTGAAAGATTTGCAAATTTGAAAATTTGTGGATATGCTAGGTCGGTAATTTAGACATTTGAGAATTTCGAATTTGGGTAATTTAGAATTTAAAAATTTGAAGGTTTGAGGTTTTGAGAATGTGGAAATTTGGGAAACTTAGAATTTGATGATTTCGAAATTTGGGAAACTTGGAATTTGAAGATTTGGAAATTTTGGAAACTTGGAATTCGAGGATTTGGAAATTTTGGAAACTTGGAATTTGAGGATTTGGAAATTTTTGAATTCAAATAGTTTAAAGTTTGGGACTTTGGTAATTTGTGTATTTGGGGGACTTAGAGAACTTAAAGAATTTGGAACTTTTAATACTTGGAAATTTAATAACTTAGATATTTAGTGATATTTAGAAATTTTAAGTGATATTTAGAAATTTTAAGATTTGAGACCTTTGGAAGTTTGGAAAACTGATACTTTAGGAATTTGGAAAATTTAGAAAAGTTGAAATTTTTATTATTTGGAAATTTGAAATTTTTTAGCTTTGGAATTTCAGAACTTGCAAATGTAGAAACATAGAAATTAAGAAATTTGATAATTTAAAAATTTAAAGATTTCAATATTTGTAAATGTAGGAGTGACAAAAGTGGGTGATTTGAAAATTTAAAAATATACATAGAAATTTAGGAATATAGAAACATCAAATTTGTAACTGGAAAAATTTCTAAATATAGAACTATATCAAATTTACAAAACTTTCAAATTTTCAAGTAACTGATTAGAAATTTGAAACCTTGATGATTCATAAAAAATTCATAGCATTCCAGCCGATAAAAATAGACAATATTGCAGTAAATAAAAAATTTTAATATTTCAATAATTCATTTGAAAAATTCATAACATTCCAGCAGATAAAAATAGACAATATTGCAGTAAACAAAATATTAAAATATTTCAATAATTCATTTGAAAAATTCATTGGTATGTTACAGAGCACGTATCTTCTCGTCTACATATGTGCATAATTTTCATAAGTGATTTCATTCAGTATGGAGTGATAATTATGTACTTAGTCATTTAAAAATTGCAATCACTAATTCAATGTTAATTGCAAATTCCACAAATTGTTTTCACGATAAAGTCATCGTTGTATCTCTAAAAGTTCATAGTATTACTATTACATACTTGCCTCATTTATGTAACAATATAGTGTGATGTGTTATATAATTTATATAGAATAAATAATTATAATGTTATCTAATATTAAAAATATAACAAATTACACGCTTATAAAAATACTTTAAAAAACTGAAAAAAGAAGTATGTAAGTCTTTTTGTAATTATTATATAAAAACTTTTAAGTACAATTTTTAGTATCACTGTTTTGATAGTTGATGTGTTATACTTTCATACGGAAATTTATTTTTTATGTTCCTAGTTAGGTTACGTTAAAATTACAGAATTAGATTATATCACAATTAGGTTAGCTCCATTTAAGACTAGGTTTGATTAGGTTGGGTTATCAGATCAGAATTATGTTGGTACTACATTATATCACAATTAGGTTAGGTTCATTTAAGGCTAGGTTTGATTAGGTTGGGTTATCAGATCAGAATTACGTCGGTATTAGATTATATCACAATTAGGTTAGATGTATTTAAAGTTAGGTTTGATTAAGTTGAATTATTAGATCAGAATTACTTTGGTACTAGATTATATCATGGTTAAGTTAGCTTCCTTTAGGGCTAAGTTTGATTAGGTTGGATTATTAGATCAGAATTATGATGATATTAGATTATATTATAATTATGTTAGTTCCATTTAAGGTTTTGTTGCTTTA